AAATTTCTTTAACAGGATCGTTGATTAACTAAAATTGCCAATTTGATGTATCTCTTTATGAATTTTTTTTTTCAAATTGGCTACTGTTGAAGAATTCAATGTATGTTACACTTGGCTTATTTTTCTGTGAATTTTCCTCTTAGTGACAATTGTGATTTCCCCTGACTCCTAGAAACTACTTCTTTCATAGGTCATCAGTACAATGGGTTGGACTTTGCTTGAGGAATTTGTGACACTAATTCTAAATGCTGTCAGATTTCTTTACAAGGAACCTCACCCAGTGATTAGTTTTTCTCCAGAGGAAACAGATTTAGTCACGAAAACCAAGCACAATAGCCCTCTTTTCATCCAAAGAAGCTTTGCATAGGGAAAAATATCAGCAAGAAGAAATGTCCATCAATTAACCAAACATAAGCATACTTCAACTAGCAGCATACTTCAACTAGCACCATACAAAACCTAAATATCAGTCTTGGCCATGAAAGATTAAGTTAAATAATTTTATGTGAGTTAGCATCATTGCTTGAGATGAAATATGTATACATATATATGTATATACACATGCATAAATATATATACAAATATACACGTGTGTTATATATATGTATATATATACATATACATGTATGATCTTGGATGTATCTAGTAGGATAGACTATTGCTGTTTAGAAACAAAGTTTCAATTAAAATTTTACAGAAATCAAAGATTTCTTTGTGAAAATACATTCACAGTGGCCATTCTATTGCAGTTGTGAATTCTTCACAAATAGAATTGTCTTTCTGGTCAAGTTTTCTGGCAGATATCTCCACTGGAATGTGTTTGTCTTCAGCATGGCTCTTTATCATCAGAAATAAAGTCTAGGAATGCTGTTCTTATCGAGGTTAAAATATCACAGGCTGCATTCAGCCATTCTTTTATCGTGTATTTGTAAGCACACAGATATGTAGTTGGATTGTTTGTTTTTCAAGTGGAAGCAAGTGTATATAAAGCAAATCCCACCATTACTGGTGGGTGGAGGAGACTGTGTGAGCAGAGTAGTACATCAGCATTTCTGTAGTTTCTATCCTACCAAATACTCTTTCCCTAATATCCCTGACGATGAAGTAAATTGGTCTAGCTTATTCTATACATTGAGAATATTCTTTCTTTCTCATCCAGAATATGTTTTCTCCAAAGGCTTACTCGTATGCAGAACCTGATACATTAAGTTTCAGTGCCTTCCTTTCTTAAATCATGTTCAACTCATCTTTTTCCTCTAAAGGTAGAAAGACTTGATTTCAGTAGACATTTTAACCAAGAACAGATGCTTGCCAAACGCATACACAGACCGCTGTGAATCAGGGAAGATCAGCATGGTCCTTTGACCTCTGAATGGTTAAATGCACAGTTAGAGACACTTACCTAAATGGACTGTTAGGTAAAGCTAATTCTTTTACTTGATCACTCTTCTATCTCTTACAGCAGGTTGTCTCTGTTCTGACAAAGGTTATAAACATCAGGGAAAAGTATACTAAAGAATAGAATTGATTAATGTGTCATATTTGAATTTTTTCCTACCATTCTCACAACAGCGAGTCCTAGAAAGGCAGTTCCAACAACAGTAAATTACATTTAAATTACACAGCATTAGCTAAAAAATTGCTAAGTTAATTCCACCTCAAAAATGAAATTTGACTTTTTTCCCTACACTTGAACTGCTTTCTGATTTTGTCTTTTTTTCCCCTACATTGGAGCCACTTTCTGATTTTTCATAGTGTGATGATTTCTGCCAAAGCAGCTACTGATTTAAGATCTTTTATTCACGAGATTGTTGCTGGGTTTTAAATTTCTGAAGAAAATAAATATGTAAAAGTCAAGAATGTATATGTATTATACCAGAAAAAAAGATACATTAAAAACTAGAATATATTTTTATAAAAGGGTATAGTGATTTTTCTTCTACTATAAGAGTTCTATAGAAGGTATTATTGTATGACATCTTTTATTATTCTGGGTTGTGTTTTGTAAAAGGTAACAATGAAAAATCTCAATGCTTTCTGTTTCTTATGGAATTGTTCCAAAGAAAAATTAGCTTTAAAAACAAATTTTGATTTATATTGCCTAAATAATTTAGCCTCCATGAAGCAGTGGCCACCAACTCACACATTTCTGGACCATGAATTTATGTTACGAGCATCCTTCTTTGTTTACTTGATGCTTGCCTAAGTTGTAATTTGAACCTAGGCTGTAAAAGATGGACATTTATTTCAACAAAGTACCTATATGGCAACTGTATCTTTTTATCAATACTAATATGAGCCCTCAAGTCAAAAATGATTCATACATACAACTTTTGATTTAAAATATAAAATTACATTATTTATAAGGAGTGGAAATGATATAATTAAAATGGTGCTACTTTCATAGAATATCGAAGATAATGTTGATAATATTGGAATTTTTAAACGAACATTTGCAGTGTGGTTCTATCCTAGGTACTTTGCATGTACTAATTTAATTCTTAAATTCTTTTTCCTTTTTTTAATTATTTACTTATTTATTTATATTTGGTATCAGGGATTGAACCCAGGGGCACTTAACCACTGAGCTACATCCCAAGCATTTCCTTTTGAGATAGAGTCTCACTAAATTGCTTAAGGCCTTGATAAATTGCTGAGTCTGGCTTTGAACTCCTGATCCTCCTGCCTTAGCCTCCAGAAACACTGGGATTACAAGCATGTGCCACTGGACATAAAGCTATAGTCTCCATTTTTTTCAAGTGAGAAAAATAAAGCACAGAGTAGTTCTTTAACTTCTACAGCAGGTTTTTTTTTTTTTTAACTTTGACACTGACATCTTAGGACAAATAATTATTTGCTGTTAGAGTTGTGTTATTAGAGCATTTTAGATTAGTTAGCAACATCCCTAATCTCTACCTACTTGTTGCAAAAGTAGCAGACCCACAGCATCATTCCAATATGATAACCTTAGTATCTCTAGATGTTACCAAATGTATTCCCACATGGCCCAGGGGAAAAGTGACAATATTACTGTTTAGATGAGAACCACTGGTTTAAAGCACTTTTTCACATCCCTGAATGCCTGACAAGAATATTACAAGAGCATAATTAATGTATAATTGATTGCATCAATTATATTTAAAACTCTGAAAGAAAAATGAAACATTCTCTTGAATTGAGTTAATTAATTTAATTTTAATTAATTTGAAAGAGTATCCACTTTGGTTGAGAATAAAGGTAGTTTTCCACAAAAGTTGTTCCCAGAAAAAAGCTGATTATCTGCTCAGGGATGTATTGGAACAATTGCCCGGCATGACCACATAATCCAATAACTTGTCATTATCAAGTCAGTTTGGATTTTATCCTGCATGATGAGCTTGTGCCAAGAGGAGGATGATTCTCTCCCTTTTAAAACCTTCTTTAATAAGAGACACCTCATAACTACTGTTATACTTGCTGATAGTTTTCACTGTTAAGTGGTATACTTTCAGGAAATTCAATATTTTGAACAACTTCTTTTAAAATAATAGCAGCAAAATGTATGAATCCAGAAACTCTCTCAGAATCTATAAGATCAGAATGAAATAAAATGATCTCAAAATGCTATTTAAAGCTACTTAATGGCCTGTGTTTATTTACAACTATTTTGTGAAGTATTAGGGTCTGAACAAATTCTGCATTCTAAATTAATGATCCTGTGCTTGAAAGATTTTTAAACCTAATATGTGACATAAAATTCCATCATCTCTTGGTTCCACTTTTCAAACTGCCACAACTTTCTTAAAATGTATTTATTTATACCCTCTCCATGACAATATTAGGGACTCCTTTAGTAAAAATAAGTCATACCATATTTCTGCTTTTTTCTTTGAAATAATGCATATATATATATATATATATATATATATATATATATATATATATTTCCACATTTAAATGATGGTTGCATCCATGTCGCAATTCTGAGTTTCTTCTAAAAACTCCCAATCTCCTTAATCCTCAGCAGATGTAATGAGGTATTTTTCTTTTTGTACCTTGGAATCTCTCTGTTTTACTTTAGCACCAGCCAAATCTTATGGACACCTTCACAAATTCCATGCAATAACTCTGCTGAGTTTATTGCCTCTATAAGTAGCAGTAAAGAACAACCTTTGGCGCTTGTCAATGTGTTGATTATGTGACTAACTGCTAGGATTTACACTCTGCTTTTTATTACAGTGATAGTTATCTTTTTTGCTATAAGTGCAATGAAGCAACTAGAATGTCACAGAGGAAGCGGTCACCTCTCCCCCACTCTATTCAAAATACACTTTTCATTTATTACAAAACCTTAATGATGGAAAGGACAATGGGGGAACAATACCTGTTATCTGAACATTGCAAAAATGAGATTTGAATGTGAAAGCGTAACACAAATGAAAAGTACCTTAAATAGACTATATTTGCTTCATTTTTTGCATCAGTGAGAGATATATCCAATTCTTTACTCAATCTGGGTTTCCTAATAATGACAAGCTACATCTCAAAGATTTATCAAACTCTACCTGGTCGCGAATGTAAAAGGTTATGGCTGCTCTGCTTTTAGGAAGCCAAGCACAAGTACTACATAAAGCCTACTGATGCATACATTGTAGCACTCCAGGGCTGTAATAAATTTCAGATCATCTGTTTCTGCCAGCTTGTTTTAAACATCTATACACTACTGAATGTAGCTTTCCTCTACATTTGAATGGATGTGTCTCTACATGTTAGCCATCACCCTTTCTACATCCTCGTGTAATTAAGGTGTCATCAAGTTTTCACAAACATGCAGATACTTTCATGAGAGATCTAGAATAAGTTTGTGAATTTAAGCTTTGTGTCTTTGGGAAGGGAAATAATGAATTTGATTTCTCAACCTGTGAGGTAACGAGAACTGTGTTTCACTTGTCAATGTGACAAAGGTAAGAGGATCTCTTAGGACCCTTTAAATTGATCTTTTGAATGTGATTCTTTTGCAGACCACAGATGACATCCTTGTGGCCTCAGCAGAGTGTCCCAGCGATGATGAGGACATTGACCCCTGTGAGCCGAGCTCAGGTGGGTTAGGTTAGTCGACTTTTTTTCTTACTTCCTTGGCTTTACCGTAATTCTTTGTTGCATGTCACATTCCCAAAAGAGATGTCCATTTATATGTAGAAGAGTCCCCCATTCTATAATGTTGCATTTGATTAGGGTCCTCCCTTTTTACAAGGACAAGTTTACCCACATTTATTTTTTTAAATGTTTTTTAAAACAAAACCCACGAAGAATATATATTTCAGAAAAAGTGATGGGGGGACAGCATACAGGGTTGCTACCTTGCAGTTCATTTTCCATTAGCTCACAGCATAATTTTTGTGTATAACAGTATAATGGACTTTCCTTTGGGTCACTTATAGTAAAATTGTAAGGCTAAAAAATTGCAGTGCATTGTACAAAATTATTTGACCTTTGTACTCACAAAACATCCCMACCATTCACTCTGCCAGCAAATTATCTTAAGGGATGTATTTCTGAATTTTGGGAGGTAAGAGTATTATGGCAGTAGTAAAGAAAACAGCAGGTAGAGTCCTTGGCAGATTTAATAGAGAAATATTTGAGACTTGCTATGGTTCCCTGAAATTCAAATGGATGCATTTTACTTGTAGACAATGTATAATTTCTCCTCCTTCTTTATGACATATTTGTATCTCATCTGATGTGACTAACACATAACACTTTCCATGTAGCCTTTGTGCCTTATGTGGAGACTGTGGATCCTGAAAATAAATGAATCACAATCTGGATTTGATTCCCTATGTTCATAGGGTCACTCACATTAGTTTCCTTTATCAAAGAGTTGTTTCTTGAAATTCAATTCCTCTCTTGTTTGTGTTAACGACATGACTGTAGAGGATATGAACCAACCTCTGTCTGCTAGTTTATGACCTCCGTAGATGTCACCTACAACTTCAAGAGACCTGTAGGTCATGATAAAATGACAAATTTACATTTTTGTGAAAGTACCACTTTAAAATAAACCTATCATTATAAAATATTGAATAAAAGTTTCAGGATACAGAGCCACCTCTCTTTTTGTTTTATTTGTTCTTTTTAGCTATCCACGGCAGTAGAATCCATTCTGATGCAAACATATAAGCATAGAATATATTTTATTCTAATTAGGATCCCATTTTGTGGATTTTATTCTAATTAGGACCCCATGTTGAGATTCACTGTGATTTATTCCTATATGTACATAGGAAAATTATGTCAGATTCATCCCATTGTCATTCCTGTTCCCTTCCCTTCTCCCTTCCCTTCATTCCCCTTTGTCTAATATACTGAACTTCTATTCTTCTCACCCTCCCTCACTGTTATTGGGGTTTAACTTCCACATATCAGAGAGAACATTTGACCTTCATTTTGATGGGGGCATTGGTTTATTTCACTTAGCATGACATCTCAAAGGACTTAAAATCAGCACACAACAGTGACACAGCCACATCAATGTTTATAGCAGCACAGTTCACAATAGCTAAGCTATGGAGCCAACCTAGGTGCCCTTCAACAGATGAACGTCTCTCTTTTTGACTGTCACTTCCCCCCATTGACTGTAGCTACTGATGCAAACACTTAGAGAGCAGCTGCTGAATGCAGTGAGGAGCAGGAGTGAAAAATCCCCCTCTCAACAAGGGTGGGTACAGGTGTGTTCCCACCCTCCTTCCTAGGCTCCACCCCACGGTTAAGACTGTCAGCCCTGACATCGCCCATCAGATGTAACTGTTAGATCTCTGGTGACCATCCATTCAATACCGCACTCATCAGTCTCAACCGCGAGTCCCTGTTGGTTGTACGGACAGATATAGCCAGGCACCTCATGATACCATTATGGGTCTCTTGGCCAAGATTGTGCCTTTGTTTTTATTGGTATTCTCACAGCTCTCTCTATGCTCATAAATAAATAAACAAACAAACAAATAAATAAATAGTAGGGATTCCAGGAATTGCTTTTTGTCAATATTGTCATACACTCCCAGCTCTCTGCTTTTTCCCACCTTTACATTCCCTTTCCTCAATTCTCTTAGGCTCACATGCCCAGCCTTTCTGGTGCTAATCCATCACACCAGGACATTTTTTTTTTTTTTTTTTTTTTTTTTGTATCTCATCTTCTCTAAGATCCTCCAACTTGAATTAGTCTAATTACAAAGGCTGGCGTTTGTGTGTGTAGAAGTATATAGTTTTTGTTTTCCCAATTAGTATTTTTTTTCAGGGTAGTCGATTCTTTTTCAGCATTTTAATAGTGTTCAAACAATGTAAAAAAGGCCTAGGTTTTTACTAATCACAGCTCCTGCTGATTTTCTTTGCTCTGCTTCCCACTTTTGCTGTTCTCTGTACAGACTATCATCTTCTTTACACAGAGTCTGTACCTTAAGTACCCAGTAAATCCAGTGCGAGGACTCTAATTGCACATAAAATTGTCACTTTTTCTTTCTTCTTGAACTAAATGGCCCAATTATTCTAGCCCTTGCTTATAAGTCTCACTAACCATTTCTTAAGAGATTGGTCCATTGTCTCTGCCCATGGTTTACGGGAAAACAGGACGGTGGGGAGAGAAGAGAAGGAGATGGAGCAGAGGAGACCAACAGCATCTTTCTGTCTCCCTCTTCTCCTCTTGTTTCCCCTGACTTTAGTCTGCTTTGTTAACTACCATAACACAATTAATTCTCTTTGCACTTATGTGAGTAGGAACTTGCAGTATCTACTCTCCAGATGATCTTCTTTACCACATCTCTCAATGCTAGAAACCATCATGTTTACTTACCTGCCACTGGTTCACTGATGTATATAGCTTGCATCCCCCACCAGAAGGTACACTCCACAAAGCAGGAACCCTGTTTGTTTGCTCCCCATGTGGAGGCTTGTTCTGGAAGCATAATTATTTTCTGTTGCACCAAAGTCTTTTACCCAAAACAAGATGAACTTTTCCTGATTCTACCTAATGATGGCTACTTTTTAATACTCAAGCCTTCTGTAACTTCTTATTCTCTCCTTCAGTGTTTCCTTCCTCACTCCTTAGTTTTCAATTCATCAATTTCTGTTAAAGCAAGAATTTCAGATTCTGTTACATGGTGTGTTCATTCATCATAAGCCTAACTTGTGAAATTATCTCTCCTGGTCTTATGTTTTATGACTTTTCTATTTTCCACTTATCATTTAGGAAGGCACATTTATTTCTTATCTTGTTTGAGTATGAATATTATTTCACATTAATATGCCCCTCCTACAGGTCTTTCTTTGTGAATGAACTATTTATCTTAAATCTCTAATTGCTAATGTCCTTAGGCTTTGGATACTGTTAGATGTATCTTGAGGAAAAGCATTTCAGATATCAGCAGGTAAAATCTGGGGAAATTGCCTTTTTAGAAAAGTAACATATTGAGGTAAATATTCAGAAATGCACAGGTTTGCTGTGCACATTTGTGATTCCTAAAGTAAATGAAAGCAGATATTTCTAAGTAGATATACAATTACCTTAATAAGTGCATTGTCCGGTCTTTTAGGTACTTCACCTTTCTGAGGATTTACTTATGCATGAACATTTTCTAATCTCTCAGACCCTCCCCACCTTCAAAATTAGGTTTTTCTCTGTTCATTATTTAGATGCCTTCCTAAGACTGTTAATAGAAAAAAAATCCAGTATTATCTTGAGCACTCATAATTATACCTTTTATTAAGTGTTTGATAATTTGAATTACTTTCCACCCAGGACTCTAACAAAGAGGGTAGTTGTGTATTTAGTTTTCAATTCATCGTTGATTAGATATTATTGAGTCCTGGTTTACATCCACTGCTGTGCTAACTGTGGAGGCAAAAACAGATTTATACCTAACAAGGGCTTTTTTTTTTTTCATTCTACTGTAGATGCCATTTTAGTTATTCTTTCTGATTTTCTGGTTCCTCACCTATGACAACAAAATATCACTTATTTTCAGAGGTGTTGCAAGAATTACAATTAATATGCTTGAGGCACTTATTGCAATGTTTGGCATAAGGTAGAGCATAAATGTCAGCTTTCCTTGTTTCCCAGTTCAGTCATATAAAAATAATAGTCAAGCTATTTTTACTCTTTACGTAATGCTGCTTCTTTTCCTGGCTGAAAATTGGTGGGCAACTGATAATATCACTCAGGCCTCCTGATGGGAACTGTACATGTTGAAACTAGATCAGGGACAACCCCCTGGGTGGGAACACATGGAACTCAATTATACTTGATTCTAGCCTCACTGTCCTGCGGTTTGCCTCGTATGATAACTGCACATTGGTACAAGCAGAGTTTTAAGATATGAAAAGATGGCTATGACATTTAGGAGAGCTAAGTGAACCCCAACTCTTAGTCACAGGTAGAAATCCAGCAGCCTGAGGTCACAGGCCATGGCTGTCCTAAAATGCCTGCTGTGAGCGGCCCACATACCTGACAGATGAATGACCTTTTCTTCACACTTTGCCTCACAAAACACTTGCACCTTTTGTGCCTCTCCCTCTGCCAAGTGACATGGTTGTTGGAATGAATTAATTAACATATGGAAGGCATGTTGAAGAAGAATACCTTGCTCAGAATAACTGTTATATGAGTGTCTCCTGTTATTTACTATTTGTGTTTCAGAAATATACATATTTTCCAAGATTCCTTTTTATTTCACATGAACATAAGTCTTGGTAGAACAGATTGCTTTGAAACCTTACATTTCAGATTCACTTAGTGAATTAACAAAATGGCAATACTGCAAAACCGCTTGAGGTCCCACATGGCCTTTAATCGCTCACATCTGTGTGTCTTTATTTGGGGCCTTCTTGTAAGTGTAAGCCTTTCTCAAAACTCCWAGAGAAGTTTGGAAAAGGTGATTTTTTTATGTTGATATTCAAGACCTTAAGTGAAAATAATAACCCTCTTTGGTGTGGGAGCTTCCTGATGAATAACTCCAATTTGTTATTTGTGACACAAAGAACAGTTCAGTTTCCTGTTTCCTGGGAGCCCTATTAAGGGAAGACAATTTCCTCTTAGATTTACAATGCTA